TCGACACACTGATCCTCAGCTCCGTCTTTTAACATTCCTATTCTGCTAAGCACAGGAGCCGGTTTCCATGTCCATTCCGAGACAACATTGTCCTGGGGAGAGTTTTAATTGGCACGAGAATGCATACTGAATAGATTGGTAGGCCGACCTCACCGGAAAGCAAAGACGGATTCGGCGAGTTTCACATTGACACAGTCTGTGAGGCAGCTTCCTTTGTTTTGTGTCGAGACCGACTGAAGTTTAATTCGATATTTGACGCATATCATCAGAACAGAAACCGATTTTTGCAGTCTTGATTTAAAACCAGGTCATGGAGACTAGCTAGCTCTAACCTACAGGCCATGTATACTCAAAATGAAGAAAGATTTAGATAAAGGTGGATATATAATGCTTTGCTCCGTCCTCACATACTCGAGTGTGTGTATTTTTCCGTCTGTGCGTGTATACATGTATGCATGTGTACGTATATGTATGTATATATTTGCATCTGTATGTGTGTGTGAGAGTGAGTGAATGTTCCAACGCACTCGCCCGAAACGAGGGAGGCTGTCTCGTGGACTGAATCAACCTGCAGAATCGGCCGTCATTTTGCGATGAGATCAACATGCAGAAATCACACAAAGAATAAGGCCGAATATGTCCTCTATACTCAGACTTCTTAACCCACCGGCGAGCGGCATTCGTCCTACCCTTGACGGCGGGCTTTATGCACGAACACAACGACTTGCAATGGGATCCGGCTTGGCTGCCTCCCATCTGGGGGATGGATTACATGGTCAAGCTGGAGGAACATTTTTCGTGAAAGACCCCAAATTGTCTTCTGGTCTCATTCTGAGGGAAGCTTAGATGGTGTCTTGGCTTCATTTAACCGATTGAAAAAGAAGAGAATTGGTCATTACCCTTTTTGGATGCTCTTTTCAATAGGGAAGAGGGTAAGTTGCAAAACTAAAGTTGGAATTTCGAAATCAATGAGTATTAGAAGTATGATTGATACTAGCGTATAGCAGGCAATTGACTAAAGAGTTGGAACACCTGACAAATCTATTCCTGGAAAATGATTATCCATTGGGACTAATTGAGAATAATAATTCTTTAATGAGGGATACATTTTAAGACGAAGACTATTTAGTCAAAGATGGGCAAGTGAAGA